TGTGTGTGTGTGTGTGTGTGTGTGTGTGGCCAGCTCAGCCCACCAGGGGGCGGGGCTGGCTGGATGTGGTGCCGGGGGATCGAACCGAGGTCCCTGTGCTTTGCCAAGCTTGTTTCAAGTAGGTGCTTTAGACCACTGAGCCATCTCTCCAGCCCCTTAAATCAAATTTTTAAAGACATATTACCACAAAGAAACAATGTCTCATTCACAAATGAACCACAAGTTACATTTTCTAATTTATTCCAATCTGTGGGCCTGTATGCTCTGAAAACTTTGGCGCTGTCCTTCATTCGTACAACCTTTGAGGGTGGATAGGACCCCATTCTAGCAATACGGAACTAGTCACTACTTTTTGTTGGATAATAAGAAATGTAAGAGTAAAGAGACAAATTAAGGTACAAAGTAATGTGAGGGCTAAAAAGTACCATCTCCTCTGGGAGTGGAGAAAACTGAATGATTTTCTACATTTTCTCACACATTCTGCAGGTGGGCATCAACTCTAAGAGCCTCATTCTAAGAACTGGCGTATGCTGCAGACTCGGCTTCCCAGAGGATGAAGTAGAGACGGTTCCGCCCACTCCTACGCAGTGCTGTGGAACTCTTGGACATTCTTTCTAAAAGGAGGCAACGGTGGAAGCAGCCTGCGAGACTGGTAAAGCTATGAAAGGTAGCAGACAAAAGGAAGATCTCGGAGCTGAAGCACTAAATGGGGAATTCTAGCAACTAGGAAGTTTACGCCTGCTGCATAAAACCCCACAGGATAGTTTCCTCGGTGTAGCTGAAGGGGAAAGTGGGGCAACACAGTAATACTAGCCAACAGTGTCTCTAACCCACCCAAATATCACAGGGAAAAGAAGATTCTGCCCGGTGCCCCCACATCACAAAGGCTGCAGAGTGAGCCAGGTTCCCTGGATGCACCACAGCCTCCTAGAGCACCTGAGAAGCAGAGTTGGAAGCGGAAGGGTGACTCCCTGCCAGCCCAGCAGCAAGGCCTCTGATGTGCTCAGGTCAGGAAGGCCTCACG